CGCCACTTCGAGGTGCAATCCATCGTCTTTGGTGCCATCAAATGAAAATAAACTTGTTCTGCTAATCCAATTAAATCGATACTATCGTACAGACCAGATCGAATTCTTTTTTTAGAACTCGAAATAGTTCAGAAGAGGAAACCCACGTATTTTACAATCGATATTCCGCGTGTAATATAATAAACCAAAAAAAAAAATCAATCATCAAATTCTACGTTTAATTCGACGAAGAGAAAAAATTGAAATTAAATCGATATACATTCGAATATATCGATTTGCAAATATTCAAGCAAATTACAATGTGCTGCAGCAACTTGTTGTACAAGCTATAACGCAGCCAGATATTTCGAGTCGCACCTTGAGCTCCCTTCCTCGCATACGTTTAGTCATCTTTCCGCAAAGCTAAAAACTTGGCCTTCATTCTACTGGATCGCGATTCATGGATCGTGGATCACCGTGCCAGAGAAATAACGCAGTTATTTTACGAGACATCTTGGACATGTAACACGAAATTTTATTTTATCGATGGATTTCACGATGCGATTGATGGATCAAAATCATAACGGTGTCATTATCCTGCCAAGAAGACTGTCATGTTTTGGCCCCTAGTCACGACATAATTTTATCTCCTGTTTTGAAAAATTTTAGCGAAAATGGAAAAAAGAAAAAAAAAGAATAAATAAAACTTGTTGAAATAAACTAATTATATATTTCTTAATTAGATTCTAAATAATTTTGTTTAAACGAAAATAGAAAGAGAACAAGAAGAGATGAATCTCGATTAGCAAAGAATTAATATTGATACGTTGTTTCTCGAAATAATTGTTTATTGATTAAGAAAATGAGAGTATATTGAGTAAAAGATGAATCCACGATTTTGTACAATTATTTGCTTTTTTTAGATAAATATTTCTACAGAGAAAACAATCAGTTATTCGAACGTGACAAGACTATTAATCATCAAAGTTTTCGCGATAATCAGTAGAAGATTTGTTACACCCTGTCTCTATGCTTCCGCATGGTTGGTTGACAGCATTTCATATCTGTCATCGAGGCGACAGCTCGTCGACGATAAGATGAAATTCATTTCATATGCATAAATTTCATAATTCATTCCTTTCTCTATCTCTCACGAGAATCGAAGATGAAGAATCGAAATTAATTTCTTTTTGTTCCGTGGACAACAAATTCATCCCTAAACGTACGTATTTTCTTTTCAACTTTCTATTCCGATCGATCTTACACCAATCGCCAAGCAGAAAAATATCACTCGAAAAAATGATATTTATAAACGATAATTATATTTTACAACATTAACTCCCTCGAAAAAGTTAAACGGATCATCCGATGATCCATAGATCAGCCAAAGTTAGGCGCTTGTTTAAATTTCGTAACATACCGATCCCCTCGCGTAGAAGCTTCTCAATTTTTCAATAGCACATCACTGATGTCTCAATAACCGTCGTGTTTTTCAATCACACCTGAGAACTGGTCTACGAACCCGTTTCCCGAAATAATCGGTGAAAAATCACCAAACGCATAAGCATAAGTTCGTCCAAGGCCGGCGACGAACGCGAATCTATCCGACGACGGCGAAAAGGAGACACCAACCTTTCGTCCACCGGGAGGACAAAAAAAGGAGGGCAAAAAAAAAAAAAAAAAAAAAAAGAAAAAGAAACGAGAAAAAGTCGAAAAACTGCAACCCGGCGAAATTCGGGGGAGTTTCGAACGAGTTAGAAGTCGAAGCCAACACGCCGTGCCGGCCGAACGCGAGATCGACACTTGCACAACACTCACGAAAATAGCACGACGACGAGCTGACACGACGGCCAGAAAGAACGGAAGAGGAAAGGAACGAAACGTGGGCAGGAAAAATAAGCGATGGTGGAAAATGTTAGACGGACTACTCACCTCCAGCCAAACACGTACAGAGTGGTAGTCCCTCGAAATTTTGGTTGGCCGATTTGAGGAGGAAGAGAAAAAGAAAAGAATATAATACGCGGTCACCCTTGCGTCACACTCGTTGCTCGATCACTGTTGGCCTTTTAATATCGCGATTGGGATCGATGGGTCGGTCACTGGATATATCGTTCACCACTTTGCGCTCGGAATCCCCGAATAAATCCCCCGAGGCGGTGAGGAAGCCAGCCGGCGGCTATCTCGAGACTGCTACCAATGCCAGCCGCAAGGCGTCCCAACACCCTCCACGCTTCTCTTCTGCCTCTTCTTCTTCTTCTTCTTCTTCTGCTTCTTTTTCCTTTTCATCGTTAACCTCTTCTTTTCCTTTCTTTTTTTTNCCCCGTTTTTTTCCATCTATCATTCTCGAGACTAACATTGTGCATCGGCATCACAACGTTCGCCAACGTTCCCCTCGTCATCGTGATCGTGATCGTTGATCTTATCGTTGGGGGGGAAGAATAGAACGACGCACCTGTTGTTCCGATGGGCCGATTCGAGGGAGATTCGAGGGAGAGCTTTCTCTCTTGGCTTGTGCAGATTTGATCGAAACGGCGTTGCGAAACGATTTACTCAAGGGTAAAGCCAGAAGAAGTAGAATCTGGTAACCTTTTTGATTATAATTTTAGAAGGAGATTGTTATTATTGAATTTAAGAAACGATCCGGCTAATAATATAATATAATGGAAAAGCGTTTCGTTTGTAGAAATGGCGACCTTTGATATTCCTCTTTAGTGTTCCTCCTCGTCGTACCTGTACCCGAGCCAAGGTTTCTCTCAGAGTAATTAACGAGAGAGGATCGTTACACAATTGTGAATTATTATTATTGTTATATACGAACGAGCAATAATCGTTATTATCTCGTTCATTTCGTATATGAGATGAGATATCCCTCGAGCGATTAATTTCTCATGCGTTCCGATTTTGGTTTCGTCGAAGCTGTTGTAAGCGCGCCAAGCGATTCGATTAAATAATTAGAAATGCTCGATTGCACAATTTAAATCGATCGATTTAAAAATACACGCCCATCCCAGGATAGGATAAATCGCCAATTCGTTCGATCATCACAATTTTCATGGTTTAGCGGTGTATAATGCGATTGATTTACAGCCATTCCAAACTGTTCGCACTCTTCGTAAATAGAATTGTTTTGCAATTGCCATAGTATGTCTGGTATCCGACGTATGGCATTGACATTCCTGTTCCCCTGTTTCTTTAACCACGCAAATTTCCAATTTTTCCCCCTCGTGCGCCTCTTTCAATTCGACGACAGATCAAAATTATTACCAAAAATCGGTATATTATATATTATATCATAATCGAAAATGGAATATAGGAATCAAAAGTCAAAAACAAACGAGATAGTAACAATTTGTTCCGCATAGAAATAAAAAAAAAAAAAACAAATATCAAATCATCGCTCAGAAATCCAACTCCCTCTCCTCTCCTCCCTCTTCCGAACAAAAAATCGAGTGCTTCGTAGAATCGACATGAGTTATCTTAATCGAGTTGGACAGACTGACAATAATCGCTTCAGCAGACGAATCGGTTCGTTGCTTTCGGCTGGTTCTAATAATAATCGAATGCTTATCTAATGTCTCCAGGCTTTTCTCTGACGTTCGATATACATTGTGCATTCGCGTTACGTTGCACCATAATTTGTGCGACAGTCTGGACCGTCTCGCCTCTACTTTCCCACTCGTCCTTTTTGCTGCTAACAGCCGTCTTCTGTCCGGCGCCGATGGTACTTCGACGGATCGTTGGGAGGTCTATTTGTGCACTCGACTTGGTTTTAATACGCGCACCGCACACGGATCCGCTGTCGATGTACTTTTACGACCGACGAGATATGTCCCATTGGGCCGTTTTTCCTCGATCCAACGCTTGCGTCGTTCGTTACTTAAGAGTGGAATCACGATTATCCATATCCTCGATATAAACTGTATAAATAAGTTGGTTTATGACGTTACATTTGCTTCGAAGTTTACGCGAAAATATATATTTGGAAAGTGATAGTGAAACGCGAGAGATGATTTAAATTGGAATCGGTGTTAATTCGATCGAGAATCTTTACGTTATGATGCTGATTTCAAAAATCGATCTGTTCTTATAATTTCTTCTCCAAAAATTAATACCAATCCTTTTAGGAGGATCAAATTGTTAAGAGGCTAAAAAATAGGAAATATCGTTTAATACTCAATTTGGAAGAAACAAGAAAGGGGCCTTCGAAGAAATTAAATAATATATCACGTGTTGCATTATACCCATGAGCGTCGATTTTAAAAGGCTCGATTGGCTTCCTTCGATTTTCATATAAAACGTGAGACGGTATCGAAAGATTACACTTTAAGTTCTGTAAGTTCATTTCCGTGTTATTAATGCAAAGTAGCCGCGTGTACGACATTCATACGTAATATCTGACTAATTGAGGCCGACGCGTGTACTTGGCCATCCTCCAAATCGCTTTGATCGGCTCTGTTCGAAAGCTACGCTTGTACACGCGTATACACGCACACGCACACGTATATACACGCATTTATATATATATATATACACACGTAAGACGCGTACGTTGTCGTAGATTTAGGTGCACGCGTGTGCCATTCGAAACGAGCAAATGGACCGAATCGAGCTACGAGTGGTCTTTTCTCGAGGAATAGATCCTAGATTTAGAGGAAGGGGGAGGATTAATACGAATTATATTCCCTACGGCGTGAAGGTGAATTCTATAGGACAGATAAGATGACAAAAGTTGGTCGTCGAGAAGAAACGAGCATCGAAAGTCGCGCGAGCGCTTTCTGCGAACCTTTCTCTGGGGATATGTCAACGTGTCGAAAGAACTGAGCGTGAACAGCCATTTTTATTACATTTTTATCGAGGACATTATTGGTTGGAAAAATTGACACGGAGAAAAGTTGGAAATTGAAGGATTGAACTGACATGATTCCACGCGGTGAAGTACGAGCTTAAAACGTCCCATCTTGCGAGTACGCCGATTCAATGGCACCAGCACCAATCATTCGACCGATCTACCTCGTGGAGGAATGCTGCTAACTTTATTCAGGTATGCATAATTGCGAATAAAATTTTAATTATATGTTTACCGATTTCGTTCCTCACGAAATACGAGACGGAGGCGAAACGTTGGCGGATAATTTTTATTAACGAGAGATAAAAAACAAAAAAAAAAAAAAAAAAAAAAAAAAAAAACAAAAAAAAAACAGGTTGACCATGATCGTTCCGCTACTAATCCCCGTTTGCGTCGAAACCAATGCCGAGAAATTATCGTTCGTACCGTCAGAGGAGAAGAAAGTGGCGGCCGGTGTGCCGCATCGACGGACCGTTACATTTTTGAAAGGAAACGAGAAATCGATTCAAGATGAAGATAGGAATCCCATGCTACAGAAAAGGCAATTGAGCAAGAACAATCGATACTTCAACGAACAGAATTTGAGAATGCGCCATAGCATCGTCTCCGATCCCGTGGATTATAGAATTCCTAGATCAGATATCGAAACTGGTGGATTGGCCCACAAAATGGCCAAGGACGCGCTGAAATCGCCCAAGGTGCAAGAGACGATAAGAAAACTTTCGCGCGTGTCGCCCCCGGGTCATCTTCAGGCCACGGTGAAGATACCAATGACCAAGGGTAACTCGAAGCTGAGCGAAGACAAAAGAAATCGAAAGGGGTTGAGGCACAAGGGGCGAAAGAAGAAGAAGAAAAAAAGGTAATGGAAGTGATCGAACGGTTTTTAAAAATTAAAAACGTCCTCCTTTGTTTTTTTCTTTGGGAGAAGAGAAGATTATCGATCGAAATTAAACGCTTTGTTAACACGTATTATTCCGTGTTTTATATATACATATATATTCGAATGGTACACGTGTATATGGTATTTTTCTTTTGATTTCCAGGCATCATAGAAGATACATGAAACAACCTACTCAGATAAAGAGGGGATCCCCTAAGGTAGGTAAGCTTCGTTCTGCAATTCTCACTAATTTTCTATTCCTCCCCAACTGGTAAATTTTTACTACGCATGTGGATAAACGTATGTAAAATGTATCTTTACTCAGAGAACGTTGGACAGCAATGGGGACATTAACACGTTAACAAAGCGATCAAAGCGAAGGGTGAATACTACGATTAAACGTAGTCCAGATAATCTCGATGATATATCACGCGAAAACACGTCCATCTCAGAATCGAGGGACAAAGTCACCGCTGTTCACGTAGACGACAGCGATTACGTTGATTTCTCCTCGTCCCCAAATATCGAGACGACCGAATCCATTTTTGTAGATATGCAAAATGACGAGAAATTGCGAAATCACGAGAGCGAAAAGATGATCGAACATTTGATGCAGACCACGACCAAGAATCCGTGGAAAAAGAAATCAGGGGACCAAGGGGTCGAGTATTCGGATTACTATAGCGACGACGAAGTACTCCAAGACGTCGCCGCGAATAAAATTTTGCCGCAACTGATCGACTCGAGAGATCCTTACGATCGATTAACACGACAGACCTTAAATTTCACGTCTTATCGTGACTGCAGCCGTCCGTTCGATAGAGACTTGCAACCGTATTATCCGGATTACGATACTCGTAGAACGTATCGTGGTTTCAAGAACGACTATGTCAATTCTCTTAATAATTTTCAGAATTATCCGACAAATGACCGTATCGCGACATTAAATCGGAATTCTCGAGTACTCGGACCGGATGAGGCCACGTTCAATTACGCGACCAATTATGGAGTTTTGGACTATCGAAATCAAAATTATGACACCTCGTATGCCGCGCCGAGCGTTCCGGCGGAAGTTCCGGAAGATCCGCAAGCGTTCGAAGGGAACAACGTTTCCGAGTTGTCGAATAATTACGATACCTTCGATCCGAATAAATCAGACGGTGGTGATCGACAGCCTGTCATCGAATCGCAGAATCCAGACCAATACGAATACTCGAACAATCAGTACGAAATTCCTGGCGAACAATTTCAAAGTCTGAGCACCAACATGCCCCAAAACTTGAACTTGAACGGGGCCGTTGAACCGTTGATCCAGCCTCAATATTTGAACAATTATCAACCGATAGATACAAACTCGCTTGGTGGGAATTTCGATCAGACCAATATAATGAACCAACCGGAAAGTATGAGAATTCCAAACGCGGACAATTACTTCCCGATCCAATTTTACAATAATCAGCAGGAAACCCAGCAGGATAATCAATTAGAGAATCAAGAAAAAAATATGGAGAACTACGCGTTGCAATCGACTTTTTACAATCGTCCATCCGTCAGTCTTCCCAACGCCATGGATCAACCATTGGGCAAGATCCTTGAATCCCTTGGGATCAACATTAACGGGGGTCAAAATAAGGAGATCAACATGAACGAAAATAACAATCGACAAATATTGCCTTATTCCAACGATCGCACGTTGGACGTGATAAATTACATAAGGAAGAGACCGTACGAGGTCTATAAGGAAGAGTCGACTGGTTACGGGGACAATAATTTCAGAGGTTTGGAGTATCAATCGTTCCTTTCCAAGAACAGGAACAATATGAAAGAGGACCAGAGGCAATTGAATCAAAATATTTCATTTGGGAAGGAAAATGTGGACCGTGATCATACGAATATTACAGGCGCTGTGAGGGACACGAAACAAGTTGCAAACGAAATACTTGATACCATAATGGAGGAGCTGGAGGATCTGAAGGACGATCGGTTGAAGAACAACAAGAACAGAGAAGGTAAGGTAGTAAATGAGGAGTAAATGGCGCGCGTCGCACGTGGAAAATAAACGTGTTTCTCGGAGAAACGATAGTAGGCCGGCTCGAAGCTTGCCTGTCCCTGATATGTGAAACGAGCGATATTTTTAGGCTTACCTTGCCGTTTGTCAGGGTCCTGGTCAACAACTCAGGCCGGAGTGAAACTGGATATGAGGGTCGTGAATCGTACTATAGTAGTGACAGTTTCCAACTTCACGTCATCCCGTTTACAAGAAAGTTTGTTGAATGAAACGTGGAACGTCTCTGGTCACGTCCCATTCAAACGTGGCTTGCCGTTCACCCTCATCGCCACCCATAATTATACCAATTCTATTGCCGTGTTTGTCGGTATGTACCTTGTTTCTTTCGCCAATATATATTTATATTTTTCCAACGCGGGGAAAACAATTCAACAATTTCTAATTTTTAACGATCATGTGTCAAATGCCGCATCATGTAATCAAAATTTTTTATCAACAATTTTGAAACTTTATAATTAATTCTTCTCTTGTTCCTCTAACGACCAACTAACTGATACCATGTCTCTCTCCTTTCTTTTTTTTTTTTTTCTTCAAATTAAATTAATTATAAGTAGAATATTTTTCAACGGAATTCGCGAATATGTAAATTATCGATAAAATAATCGTTTAGGTGCCTGCAGAGTTTGTCAAGGTATCGACACTATAGCAGGGGTTTGGTCCGTTGCCCGACAACCAAAGGATTGCAAGGATTTACAGGCAGCCACGAGTGTCTTCAACGATATTTTTCGTAAAACGCAATTGTCCAGTTTGAAAGAAGGCGAAAACACTGAGAATGCGACATTGAAGCATAACAAGACGAAAAGTTAAGAATAATTTGCCTCCTGAAATCCGTATGACGCGGAATACTTAACGAAACAAGAAAGAAAAAAAATGTTGGAATTCGAGAGATGGAACTACGATAGAGGAAAAAAAAAAAAAAAAAAAAAAAAAAAATGAAAAAAAAAAAATAAAGATCTATCTATACGTAGATAATGGTTTGTACGAAAACAATATTGCAATATAATAGTAACACATATACAAAAAAAATGTAGAATACTTTGTATTATGTATGATGTAAGTAGCTTCTAATAAACACGGCGTTTTGTACTATGTAATTTTTAATCACGGCATTTTACATTAAAGAGATCACATCACTTCACTTTTTTTTTTTAATCAGATGTTTACAAATTTTTAATTTTCAAATAGTAATCACATTTTTTTTTTTTTTTTTCTACACGTAGAAAATACACAGATATATCAACCAATTTTATATTATGATCGATTTACGTTTCGCTAGTCGTTGGCGTATCGCATCGAGACCTAATATAGAGATCTACAAACACATTAAGATTAAACACAAAATAAGAAAATAAAAGGGATTAAGAATTAAGAAACACAGAGAGAGAGAGAGAGAGAGAGAGAGAGAGAGAGAGAGAGAGAGAGAGAGAGAGAGACGATAAAAATTATTTAACGTAGAATACTTGTAATCATTGACCAGTATTACGCTTACCTTTAAGATACCAATTTCTTCGTGTTCCTCTACACCATAGATAGGAAGCGAGTTATATTTTTTAGCCTCTCCTAATGCATATTCTCTTATATTAAAATTAGCGTATCTACAATCAATTTCTTCGAATGATATATTTTACCTAATACGGATGAAATTGATGGATTTCTTCTCTTATCTTACCCTATTTCCACACACTCTTTCATATCTGTTTCTTCCGGAAGTGGTTCACAAACGACAATGAATCTTATATTAGGATTAGTAGTATTGTCCAACATCGCACGTAAGATATCGCTTTGCACCGAATACTTATCTTCGCTTATTCGAAACACTGCGAACAATATTTTTCTTATTTTTTTTTCCAATTTTTTTTCTTTTCTTTTTTGTTTTAAAATAAATGTAAAAGAGATTGTTTTTACTTACGTTTCTTAAAATTAAATTCGAACAACTGGTTCGGATAGGATGGTTTTCTCACCGAAATCGTTTCCATATCAGCGCCGCAATAACCCAAGAAGCAATACTCGATGTAAAATAGTTCGTAATCGGGATTCTGCATAACATAAGATGTCGAAAACAAATGCATGTTTATGATTTCGATGATTATCACATCCTTCTCAATTTCCTGGGGGAAAAAACAAGGGAATGAAATCTCTGGGTGAAATCTTAATCTTTCGCGATTAAAGAACGAATTTGAGAAGAAAATTACGTTATCAATGGATTCATCGATGACAGGTTCTTGGATTTTTACGGAATCTGAAAGTGATTCTCGTGAATAATTCTAATTTATCCAGAAAATCAATTGCTAGATCGATTGCTAGATACATGCCCTTGGCAGTTCGAAGACTCCGTTCCTTATACTTGTTCCAATTTTTCTCCACTATCACCTCGGCCACTTCCTTAATCGTGTCGTTTGATTTTTCCTCGTTTACGTCAATATCCTGAATTTATATATCGCGAATCGAAGATTAAAAAAAGATGAAAAAAAGAGAATCGAACGAAGAATCTTGAATCATATTAACTGTCGTATAAAAGCATTGAAATATTGCATTTCTCTTACGTTCTCTTTTTCTAGATTTTTGAAAAATAAAGCCGGATCCAACCTCTCTTTAGGTACAAATCTACTCAAAAGTGGCATTTTTAAATTTAATTTTCTTTTTTCTCTTAACCATTTTACCACCAACCTTTCGTTAAAATTACTTTCTTCCTCATTCGTCGTTTCCTCATTCAACTCGGTTCTCCATTTAAACAGCATATTGTTGATTGCAGGATCCTTTAAAGAGGCGTTAGTTTCCTCATCGGTCTCCTTCATCACGATCAAATTCTTTTCCAAATCGGGGACCTTTTCAAGAACGACCGACTGTACTTCGTCAGAATCATCTAAAGAAAATGGATCGATGTTTAAACAGGATTATTCCATCGTTCATATAAAACGTATTTTATTATTTATCGATCATCTCCTCTGTACTTGATTCGTATTGAACTTCGGGATCTTCCTCGGGAGTCGTCTCTTTTTTCGGCTCCGTTATTATTGTCGGTACTATCTCTTCTTTCGGCACAACTTTCGATTCCAATTCTTTCTTTGGTTTCTCAACATCCGACACTATTCCACGCCTCTTTTTGAAAGCCTCCACCTTCTCGAGATCGCAACTCAATCTGACCCACAAGGACAATTGGCCAAAATTCATGCCGACCGTGCACGGGATAACGCTGTTCACAGGGGCTATATAGTGGAGCTTGTTCTGAGGATAGTCCAATATATCCTTGATGCAAAGCTTTCCCCTGGCCACTATAAAATTTTTGTTATCCTCTTGATACACGTTCACTTGAAATATGACGAATTCTAGAAGGATATAGTTGAAAAATGAGAACAGATCTGGGATTCGATATACGAAGGACGAGTTGAAGTTTAATTTGGGACACTTGAGGGTGGGCGTGTAGGCAGTTTCTTGATTCCAAATGTTCCAACTCACGTATAACGACACGTTACCAAGATCCTTCTCTTGGAAAAGTATCTGCTTAGCCTGGTACAACAAACGATCGATATTTCTCAAAATTATGTATACACGTATTGGGGATATTTCGTTTTATTCGTGATACTACTAACGGACGTTGAAAGTTGCAAGGAAACGATGTGAAGCTCGACAAGGCCCTGACCTTCCGCGATCACCAATGGAAACGAGTCGTTGTTCGAAATATCGATGCAATCGATATTTGGACATTCCAAGCTGCAATGGGTTTCCGATTCGGATTTATGTTCTCGTTGCAAGAAATTTTGTATCGGATCCATGGCTTGTACACTTTCCGCAATTTCATTCATCTAAATTTTCGTGATACGATCTTTCTTAATGAACAACGGCGTTCGAATATTTATTAAATTGATGAACAGAATTATATTATAGTCTTACTTGGTATCCAAGCGATAGCTCACCTCGGTCATAAATTCCTTGTATTTATCCAAATGCTTGACGTAATCCTGCAACGATGCTGGAGAGTTCATCGAGATATTCTTCGGATTCTCTCCGTTCTTTTTCTCATTTTTATTCCAAGATTCGTATGGAGAGACATCATTCTGCAACTGACTTCAAAAGACAAAACATGAATTTCGCGAAACGAAATCAAAATTATTTAAATAAAAATTATCGAGATTCGATATGCGTTCCCGAAATTTGTGTATTTTCGATATTTCGTAATTCTGATTCGAAGAATTTCGCGACACGAAAAAAAAAAAAAAAAACGAAACTTAACATCCTTCGTTTCGATTTTTTCATTACATTTCCGTTATGCTAATCGTATTCCGCGATTAATCTTCCCGTTAATAATGTATCAACATGTTACCGATTTCACCAAGGTATTGCAGCAATGTGTACATTTCCCATCGTATTTCAAATTGGTACAAGTGCAAGTGTTGTTGATCATCTTGATTCGATGACGTTTCTTCGTATTGGAAATTTTTTTCCTTATCTTTTCTTGCTTGTAAGGGCTACAACAAATTTTCTTTGAAGAGGAAATGCTTGACACGTCGTCATTGTATACCGTTGTTTTTACATCGTTATCGATGTTGGGAAATTTTGGACGTTTCGCCGGACGATAGAGAGTAGAGGCTTCCTTGGGTATGGTGCAAGTCAAAGAATACTCTTGAAGAATATTAAACAACACGGATATCAATTTATTCGGATCTGCCGATTGCTTTTCCAAAGGAATTATCTTGTCTTTCCTACTCTGATGCTGAAGTTTGAGTTCAAAAGTTTCTTGCTTTGCTTTTTTCTCTGTAGAACTGTAACACAGTGTCTGACGATAATTTCTAGATATATTGTATCTACAATTTAAATTGTTAATATTACACGGAAAAGGAAGAATAAGAAATAAGATAATATATTAATATCAAGACAGAAATTTATTATGCTGTTCTATTAACTATAAATCTTAACTATTATTATAGTTTATTAAAATATTATACGATTATATATCGTTCCAACGAACACGAAAATCTTCCAACAAATATTCGGAAGCTTTAAAGATTCTCGTACTAGTCACAATTATTATCATTATCTAATTTATCAGGAAGAATGATATTAAACCTTCCAATTTCAATCAACACAAAATTTTTTTAATTATAAATCTAAACGTTATATCGATATCAAATCACTTGACCGACATAAAAATAAATAAACACAAGACTAAGATAACGCGAACAATAATCGGACAACCAATAATTAATCAACAATAATCAAGAATCTCCAAAGAGCAGTTTCTCAAGAGAGACAACTTGCCTTTGTCTCTGATATTGATCCAAAATATCGTAATCAATGTCAGTGGCCGTGCTTCTCTGTTTTATTGCTTCCGTACATGTTGTACCTATTTGCGCTTCTTCTAAAAACTTCAACATTTTGTCTGGACTCAAGCTGTAGCACTGTGAATCCGTGATCATGGCACGTTTCATACTTTCCGAACATAGAGTTTGAGATTCGGAATTTATAACTTCTTTTATCAATATTTCTTTCTTAGATGCTACAATCTCGTTATAATCCTTCCCATCCACAACGGTCGTTTTCACAATTTCTGTTTGCATCGATTTATTCTCCACTGTTTTTATACGAGAATTATATAACATGTTCTTATGTAAATCTTCGTTGTCTACTGGCTCGCAACATTTCTTGCATTTCTCTTTTTTCACCGCGTTCACCTCTTCATATTCTAATTCGGAACACTTGCGGCACTTTATTTGGGCCTCGATATTTTTACACGTCAAATCATGTTTTGTAGGTAATGCTGATATCTGCATGTCAGAGAAACATATCGATATCTGCGCGTCCTTAGCTTC